ACATCAAATTGTGTACACATGACATTAAAGATAGGATGAAAAGAAATATGTTGAAATTAAATTGATTAAGTAAATCAGAATGACGTGGTCAAAATACACATCTGAAAAATACAAGTTCAAATGATGTGGTTGTATGAGATGCAATATTTGTACCATGAGACACTGTGAAAAGGTTAGGTTTCCTCTTGGGGTCCAATTTGAGCATGGACAGTCACATTAGTGAAATTTGTCGAAACTGTTATCTTTGGTCCAGGAACATTGGCCATATAAACACTTTATTAGCCAGGAAGCAGCTGCTACACTTATATGTTCTTTGGTATTCCCAAGGATTGACTACTGTAAATTGTTAGTAGAAACATCTAGTGCCAATATTATAACAAATCAACTTGTTGAAAATACCGCAGCTCGAATTCTTACCAGATCATCAAAACACTCTCATATTACTCCTGTTCTGAAATCAATCTATTGGCTGCCAATCATCTTCAAAAGTCTGTCTTTGACGTATCAGTGTGTGAATGGCTTAGCTCAAATATACTTATCTAACTTTATGCACATACAAGTTCCCTCAGTAAACTCCGGCCGAACACATTCATCAGTTTTGTTGCTCAAAGTGAAAATTAATATCATTTGGATACGGATCGTGCTTTCACTACGGCAGTGTTGAGTGGGATTAGGTCTAATCAAACGAAACACTGTGGGGAGTATGCTAAAATAGTGACCTTATGCTCATATACAATTTGTTTTTTGTCTTTTTGAAATATCGCTTGATTCGCTTGTCAAGTATAGACAGATGTATATGACTAGTACACTATTTAGTTTTTACGATTTGCTGTTCAAAAATTCATCATCCTTCTACTAGATCATGAGATTATATTGCCGAATTAATAAAGTGTTGAAAAATAGTCTAGAGACATTAATTGTATTTACCAAGAACAGCTCTTTATTTTTGGCATTTACAGTAAAGTAAGCTTTTCAAACTTCATCGTTTGAAAATTTTAACGGTGTAATTGTGAGCTCAGTTTTCGTGATTAGATACTTATAGATAAATAGATAGATAAATAGATAGATAGATAGATAGAAGATAGTGCTAGATAGATAGATAGATAGATAGATAGCGCTAGATAGATAGAAATAAGTAATTGTAGTTTTGATAATGGAACATTTTTTAAACTTGAATTTTTTGATGAAAGTATATAATCTGCGTTTATATTTATTTGTTTATTTCTATTTTTATTATGGCTTGCTGTTAATGGAACTGGAAACCACGTTAATTTGGTTTCAAGTGCCATGTTACACTTTTCAGTGTATAAATAAAGCGGTTTATGTTTCGTCATTTTTGTTGAAAATCGTTATTTTTGTACAAAAATGGAAATTATTTACTACTAAACGGGTCGAGTGCCACCCAATTATTTTCTTCATCTTAATACAATAGATCATTGCCTTTTCAGTCAGCATTCCAAAAAAATACTTAAACCCGCAGTGGGTGAGATATAGATAGAATAAAATGACATACCTAAATTGAGCTATTTTGGTACCTTGCAGCAATAGTCCCTGTACCAAAAACCGCTCCATGAAAATCCATCAAACTTTCAAAATGTTTTCTCACGAACGATATCTGCTACGCTATAAAGTTTCATTAATCTACTCGCCGTAGTTTAGTTGTACGAAATAATTGAAAAGTGGTCTGAAAATGATGATTTTTTGGCTCTTTTCGGTCTTAAAATTTCGATTGATCTAAAATTGTGGCAGTGGAGTTTGGAGGAGTTACCCATTATACATAAAAAAAATGGTGAAAATCGGTCACCCACCATGTGCCGGTCCCTGCATGGTTCTCTCGCAAACGCATTCTTAAAAACTAAAATATTGCCAAAGTTAACTTTCTAAAAGAAATATAAGCTCATAAATAGTTCAATTCCGTTCAATATTTACAAAGATATGATGCTTTGAAAATTTGTCAACATCGGACATCCTTTGCAGACAATATTAAAGGAATGTGGTCGAAACAAGCCAGCGCCACCTATAATCTTCGCTTAAAAATTTTGAATGGACCTCTTTTTAATCCCATCGAACATACGTCTGGGGATTATCTACCGTCGATATTTTGATTTTGTTTTCTTAATAATAATTAATTAACCAATTTGAGGACATTTTAGCGTGGATTGATGCTATCGAAAAAAATACAAATGACATCGGCGACTTTTTAGTGTATATGTATATGTGTGATCATATATATTGAACGTTGTGACTTTTTTCAGACTGATATTTTAATGAAAAACAACACAAAATATACTGATGACCAATGATTGGTTTTGAATAATTAGTCATGATTATTCATACCATGGAGGGTAACTTCCGTAACTGTGCAGCCTATTGACGCTACCAGTCATTAATCCTTGAATGACAGGACATGGACAAGCAAAACTGGACAAGCAATTGATAAGATAAGTAAGAAACATCTATTATCTACAGTGGGATATGTTTACTCTTTCTAGAACATCGGATACCACTTCTCGTTTTAGGAGGTCTCATAGCTAACCAATTTTTGCTGATCAGTGATACAGGATTATGCCTTTGGGATATTTGTCGGATATATTCCGATCTTTTTATCTATCGTACAATATACAGTATGCACCACGACAAGATATATAGACAATTAAGCCACCATATTCTTACATTCAACAAGCCTTACCTTAGTTTCCCACATTTTTAAATACATCATGACCAGATCGTTTAATTCGGGTACTTTAAATCGATATAAAGTACCCCAACAATATACCGCAAACTTACATAACAATTCAGTACCCCAACTGGCCATTGTTAAGTGCAAACACGGTTACGTGCCCTTGGATTAAAATTAGTCGTGCTAATCGAATCTACTAGCCGTTCTTCGGGTGATTCTATTGATAATGAATGTACGAGCTGCCTCTTTGTCATATACAAGCACGGAGAGAGACAGAGAGAGAGAGAGAGAGGGGGTTTTAACGTCCACTAGACACAGACTAGGTCATTTCGGGACTAACATATGGTTTAATTTTATTTTGAATTGAATTTGTTGGTTCTGGTATTTTGGTGAGTTGGTAATGTACGTTTTCTATTCTTAATATGCATACACGAATACTGCAGAATACATGTCACCCCATGACCGGCGAAATAATCTTAGATGTGTAGCATACTGGGTCAGTTTGTCAGATTAGATCGGTTTTTTTTCAGAACTATCAGAGCAGAATCTCCTAGTGGGCCCGGTTTTAGTACTCCTTCTCATAATCGGTGTGATATTTTGTTAATTAAAGATGAAACGATTTGTACCTCTGTATGAGCAAAATCGAAACTATTTAATACTAGACAATGAATGGAATATAAAGAATTTACAAAGTTAAAGTTACAATTTCATATTTTCTAAGAAAGTCAAAACATAATTATTTTTATGTCTTTTGCTCACTAGGTTGTCAACTCACTATTATACGATCTTTCTCACACTTAAAAATCTTCACACCGGAAATAATAACACAATTACCTCCGAATTACCTCCCTTGTTTTCTATTCCCCACCATGAAATAGCTATCTTCAAACGTTTGAATTTGAAGTTGAAAATGATATTTTTGCCAATTTCTCAACTGTCAATAGTAAATTATAGGATTAATAGGATTAATTCTTTAACAATTTAGGACTGTTTATAGATACCATCTATTTTAGGGCTTTATTTTAATACATTTTAAAAATATAACTTAAAAATATGAAATTGTAACTTTAATCGGTCTAATATTGTAACTTCATATAAAAGATTGTTTTAACTAATCACAAAGTGGTTTTATTTTGGATTCAGATTTACAGATTCTTTTCTTGTATTTTCCTCAGTTGAAGAGAAATGTGTATTCAAATAATTTTCGTCTTCTTCTTCGTTTATACACATATATCCTGTGGATTGGTATTTTAAAGTCGAAATGTTTCTATTAAGTTATAAAACCCCACCATGTCCAGTCTTTGTATGGGGTTAAAATATGCTACTTGCTGAAATTAGTGAGTAAGACTAAGACGCTGGCTCGATAGCCTGGAGGTCGCTGGTTCGATAAAGTTCATCGGGATTTTCCAGTGTAGTTCCCCTTGTCAGTGGTGTAGGACGGATAGGACGAAATACCGAGGTCCCGTATACACATTGGCGTGTACGTAAAAGATCCCTTGGCAGTTGGAATTCGATATAACAGTTGACCGTAGCGCTGCTGTCCGGGCAAAATTTCCCTCATAGCTCACTGTATGGTGTATGCCCGTCTTCATTATCCCAGTCGAGGCAGAACAGTAGGACGTTAAACCCCATTTCAGAAACGTAGGACGCTAAACTCCATTTCATTTCATTTCGAAACTTACAAACCCCCACATTTCTCAAAGACAAGTATAGAGAGTAGGACAGTAGAACGTTATTGAAGGAGTTTAAACTGTTATATATATTTCTAAGTTAATATTATTATGGTTAAACGCTGACAAATTTCAAATTATTCCGGCTTGTATATACGCATTGCCACTTTAAAGAAGTTGTTGGGTGTAGGCCAACAGATATTACAACTCAGTGGTAACACTGATTAGCTACAGCTCTACATAGCAGCACGGGGATTGGGTGGCCGAATGGTTAACGCCTGGATCAGAAGGTCTGCCATTGGGTCAAGTGGCGTGATTTAGATTCCCCGCATGTACGTGACAAGGGGTAAAGTCGCCTGTTCAACCTCGTGGGTTTTCTCCGGGTACTTCCGATTCATCCAACTGCTAAAAGACTCCTACGCAGCCAAATTATATGAATAAATTGAACCATATGACATAGTTTGTGTCGTGTGGACGTTAAATTCTCTCTCTCTCCCCCTCTCCTCCCCACTCTCTCTCTCTCTCTCTCTCTCTCTCTCTCTCTCTCTCTCATAACAGCACAGTGATACAGGTATATTTGTTGACGGACCAGTTTGCTAGTTATGTGTTCCTCATTTGGTTTTGCCAGAGAAAAAGCAAGAAAGATTCCATAACTTTTCATCTATTTTAATTACTTAATCAAGATGTATATATTTATATAATATATTTATAATTATTCCATTAAATTATTTCATTATTCATTCAAGAAAGAGACATGCTTTATCTACAAAATAAACAAATAAACAAACCAACAAACAAAAAATGTATATTTTGACACTGATTCGTGTCGTTACAAATCAAGAACTGAAACGTTTGAATAATTATTAAAATAAACGCAAAATACGGAAAGGGAGACTTAATAGATCATTTCAAATAAATGAATACATGGGATTTAACAGCCTGAATCTGGACATGTAGGCATTCGGGTATCGTTTATAAAAATGGCGCAAAAATCACTATTTAAAATGGCACTAAAGTTCATAAGACACTATTTAAAATGGCATTAAATTTCACATGGCACTTTTCAAAATGGTAAAGAAAACCAAAATAATTTACAGGCACTATTGATCAGTTTGGCACTTCAATTCACAATAATATATCAACAAAATATAACACATTCATTGCAGGTTGCAGATTAATTAAATCAAATTCAACATTGTAAGTTGCAGATTAATTAAATCAAATTCAACATTGTAAGTTGCAGATTAACTAAATATAATTTCAATTTTGTTTCGTTTAATTAATGAAATTGCAATATAGAAACGAAATAAATCTTCCAATTTATATAATTTATTGTAAGTAGAGGTTTCTCTCGTCACTGCACTGAATGGGGTACCTAGGTAAATATTATTTATAATCTGTGCAAATCAAGGACACACCATCTGCAGTTATCTACGAGGAAGGATATGCTTAGTCGTTCTAGAACATCGATTACCACGTCCCGTAACGCGGTGTTTGTGAAAGCAACGGTCGCAATTTCCGAAGCTATCTCTTTTTTTCCATTGGGATCAATTTGGAATATTAAGTTTACAAAGATTATTTTTAGATTCATACTATTATTACATAAAACCTGAGATGGTCAGTGACGTCATACAGAAATTACCCTAAAATATTCAAATACAGATGTTGACTAAATATAAATATATACATAAAACTTGTTCTGTACATGCACGTGAAATAATACTGTCTTTTCATATGTACCCGTAAGTACAATCATTTTCAAACAATTCAAAATGGCGTCAAAACCAAACTTCAACTCGTTTGGATATCAAAATATTTAGATTTGACATAAACTTGAAAACTACTTAAAATAAAGCGACGATACTTTATAGTCTATGAACGTATATGCCACAGTAATGATTTTTCTAGTTTACGGGGATCGCGCAAACTATGGTGAGATCTTGTTCGTCGTTGACTTAGAGACACGTTAATCTGTTTGTTTTCGTTGTGGTATTTTGATCAGCACTAACATTGCTTAAATATATTCGCCGTTTTAAAATCATTCCGATCATCTAAAAATAAATCGTCTGCGCATAATCATCATCCTATACGGTCAAATAGGCTGCAAACAGCTGAAGACCCTTAAGTTTAGGCAATACGTAGCTTCATATCCATACAAAATGTGGATATTCGTAAAATCCTTTGCAGCAATAAGATTCTCCATTGGAAACCTTGTTCCATTAACAGTCAATCGGTGTTGTTGTTAGAGTTCCTGGTAGCGTGAACACGTGTATTTCCATGCTCTAAATCCGTATTGCCAATGAACGATGTCATTGTTTCTTTCATGTCCACACATCGTTCCGGCACACACTAAGGTAAGAAGTCAAACACGAAACAACCTTTTCTAACTGTGCAATCAACGGTAACTTCGGTTTAAGTAACATTCTAAACTAGTTAGTTGGCAGCCACAGGTACCTGACTTCCACTTCCAGTTTCCATCATATGGATGTTCAGGTGACTTCCTGGATAAGAATGCGCATGGTCATTGTCCATATTAACCGGAACAGCTTTAGGTGGAGAAGGGGTCGCGAACAGGTGACTGTTTTGGGGAGACGGCAAAGTATGGCCATGCAATGGACTGCTCAAAGAACTTTGATCAGATAGGTTAGGACTAAGCGATGTCACTGAGTTATTTGGTAGGGACGCCATGGACGACATATTTCCACTAGCTGAATAGTGATTGGTTATTTGACCGGAAAGACTGTCGGGCGGAGTTGGTAAATGGCGGCTAGGTGTTTCTATATGAGAGTTCTGTGATACGGGTTCAGTTTTCACTTCTGAAATAAAATAGAAAATATTATTATATTATTTAATAAAATAGCGGAGCTACGGTGGCTAAGTGGGTGAGACGCTGGCTCGCTAGCCTGGAGATCTATGCATTGGCGCAAAGGTTCATCGGGATTTTCAGACGTGGTTCGCCCTTGTCAGTGGTGCAGGACGGAGGGCCTGACAAGGACAGCTGTCTAGTCGTTCAGATGGGACGACAAAACGTGTATACATTGGCATGCACGTAAAAGATCACTTGGTAATTGGAATTCGATATAAGAATAGGCCATAGTGCCGCTGCCCGGGCAAAATTTCCCTCATAGCACATTGTAAAGTGTATGCCCGTCTTCACTAACCCAGTGGGAACATAACAGTATGACGTTAAACACCCTTTCATTTTATTTTATTTATTTCATAACGTAGTTTTTCAGTCAACGAAACGTGCACATATAGAGAAACAAACTACCCTCGTGTGGTGTGAACAATTACGACTGATAGAGAGACGACGTAGTTACATTGGTTTTAAATTTGATACATAATGTCCTCAAATGTGACAATTACTTAAAATGTCCACAAAGTTTCGAAATGAAGAAGTCCTTACGCAGGTCTGTCAATTCTGAACTGAAGAAGTCCTGACACAGTTCTGCCAATTCCGAAAACAAATGTAGTGCGAGTGGGTCGTGGCGTTAAAAACGCTTCAATCATGATGATTGGCTGGCACATTCCTTATGACTGGGCATTCACGTATTTACCCTATTGACACTCTTCAGAGAAATCGCTTCCGGAATGTTCCAATCGAGTACCTCCGTGCAGTTCGTGAAGTAATGAATGTCTAGTTGCTATGTCATTCGATCGTGTCATCCTCTCTATAATATATGAAATCAACTTTAAGTCTTACTTACCGACTTGCGGGGCTTCTGATTTGTTTGAGACAGACTTTGTTTTTCCTTGACCCTTTGGTTTTCGTTTTCTGGTTTGAATTCCATCTTTTTTCATGGCTAATGGTCGATTAATCTGTGAACAAAGAAATTGTTTAACAATAATAATTTGTGATAAATCAAATAACCAACTTACATGTTGTGGTGGGTTGAACTGGACTTTAACAAGTAATTATGACCAGAAGCCCGCTGTATTAACCTACATCAAGGAGATATTTTAAAGGTCGAAAGAAAAATAAATCCCCCAATGCAAGTTCCATATAGTTTATTCAGTATTTTATTGATACATTGTAACGGAACTGTAGTCTCTATATTGCAATTTGTCACTAAGAAATTAATCTCGGTGGTCTAGAGTTTTCTCAAAACGCCCAATTGGACAAGTGAAACAACAGTGTCATCGTTATTTTTAAAGTTCATTGTACTTACCCCATGTAATTTATAGTAAAGACCACAAGCGTTACAGACTGGTTCGCCTTCGTTGTTACGTCTCCATAACGTAGTCGTACTTGTATGACAGTTAGAACATGATAATCCAATACGTCTTGATGCAGACTGAAATAAAATAAGATGCGATTAAAAATAAATGTTAGGCGTATCAACAATTTGTTAAAAATCGAGTTTCCAGTTGTGACTTTTTTCATCAATGTCAAAAGTATTATGATTATGCCCTAAGTGAAATGAAATTAACATCTTAAACGAAGGAATGGAGTGGGGTTGAAGCTGAATACTTTGATCATTTGGTAATTAACTTGAGCCTTGGTAGGAACAGTGTCGTTTTCTTCACCTCTTCATTGAATTCTGTCAATGACGTTTTTCGTCCCACCCGAACGATTGAGCAATGGAAACATGGTTACGAGTGCGATGAGAAGAATGGCCCTTTTGCAAATGTGCACATGGGTGGGTCTCGGTTTTTCGTCCCACCCGAACATGGTTACGAGTGCGATGAGAAGAAATTTGCCTGTTATGTAACACGTTTTTCTTTTGCATTTTCTACACATTCACCCAATTTTCTTTTTTTTTCTTTTATTTGTGTTGATATATGCTTGATAACGTTTAATACATGTTCAGTACGTTAAATGTCTATTAACTGTATGAACTCACCAAATGGGATTTTGTACCAGATGTTCTAGAATAAATACATGTGTATGCATAGTCTAGTTTACGATATGGATACATGGTCCCATAATTTGGACTTGGGTTTCAGATGCCGAAATTACCTGGATAGATGATAACCTTCGGTTAAAAGTGCCACCAGTCGATGACAAAATAGGACATACGATACATATTTTAACAGACACGAATTATTATTATTTAACAAATTAAGCTGTTTTGTTATGATATCTAATGGCGACGAATATCTTGAATTGTACATACCAGTCTACGTTGAGGTTTCAGAATCGCCCCATTGACACTATTCATCTTATGATAAAGGCCGCAGGCATTGCACAAATAATGTCCGGTACCGTCTCGTCGCCATAATGGCGTAGAGAGAGCGCCACAGTTAACACATTCACGACCTTCCAAGTCAGCGTAGTAATCTTGGCCATCTGAAATATAAAGGTCAAAACATTATTGTTATGTCTAGCATAAACAATATAATATATACCTAAAACATAACACAAATAAAGGAATGAAATGGGGTTTAACGTCCTACTGCACAACTAAAGAACACTAGATTTGAAATGTACACGCCCTGTATAAATTCAGTTATCGCCCAATAACACATTCTACCGTAGATATCGCTTGTGTCATAACTTTCATAATCTACTGAGCGATATCTCCTAAAATAAAATCTATACTAAAGAATTATATTTGTTTATTTGCGCGTGTAAGAAAGGGTTGGGTGATAAATAAAATCTCCTACTCGTCTTTTTTTCATATAAAAAAATATTAACACTCGTCTATAAAGTAAAAATATAGCTAGGCAAAGTCTCGTTATTTTTTACATTATCGACTTGTGTTGATACTTTTTGATATCAAAAAAGATTCGTAGGAGATTCTCTATTTCTTTCCACAAAAACATAAAAAAAAGATATATTTTAACACGTCACTATATATTTTATTTAACTGAAAATTGGAGGAATATTATACCAATATCTGGTATATTCAGAACTACGGTTACAATACGAAATGACAAAATTGGAATTATATTATACAAATATCTCGTATATTCAGAGATATGTTTTTTGTACGCGTATATTTGTATTTTAATTCTATTTAGTTAAAACAGACAACTGTATCTGGGTTCAGTGTATACAGCAAAGTATATAAATAAAAATAATTCATTATAATTAGCACACATGTCAAGTCAAATTTGCAAATTTTAGTAGCTCAAATTTTTGGGAACACAACATTTTTACTAATTAAATTTGATACGAAGAAAATGCCACAGCAATGTATGAATAACCTCTTTGGGGTCAACCAACTTGTATTTTTTCCAAAACCTATGTCAGAATTTGGGGATTTACTGCTAAAATAGCAATTAGAAAGACAAATTTACATGTTATAGACCCAAGAAATCGCACTCAACTACATACGTCACTGCGAATCCCTAATTAGCACGCGATAAGAAAGTTGCACCTCGCTCTCATCTCGTGCATAGTAACGGCGCCAGCACGTGACACCAAGGTTACCAGTGGTACATAGGTCACGTGTTTGAACATGGCGGAGACTAATTTCGCTTAATAAGCTGCGTGTAGTCGTGTCACTCCGCAGTACAGGCTAGTGCTTGATTTCGGGTTCTAATTAATCCAGTTACATGGGTTTGATGCCCAAGTGCCAAAAGATATCAAGTTAATTTAGAATAAGTTACAGGAATAAACGCTGGTGAGAAAGTTCTAAAATTATTCAGAACTGACACGTTGAACATCATACTGGGAGGTTTCTTTGGTGCGATTCTTTAGAATTCGTGAGAAAAAAGGGACTTGGTTGTAAAATGTAACGCGATTTCTTTGCCTGTCAGCCTTTGCTTTTAGTACTAATTATATGATAATTAAAAACGAAATTAGATGCTTTTTATGTCTAAGATTTAGTATATTAATAATTGTGGGAAATTTATCAGAATTTGGAACTCACTACATTAAAACAAGTTGTGAGTCTTGAGAGTAAATTAATGCTATGATATTCGTAAGTTCAGAATTATAGTTTGTATCGGCTAACGAGGAGAACTGTGATCTTGCTAAACACTTTCAACAAATATTTGATCATGTATACTAAAACTATTGATAGAATAAAATACATACATCTTTAGTAAATATATTAAAACTATTCAGAAATTAACATTTCCAGAAGAATTTAAAATGCGAGGTTATAAAAGAAAATCAAATCTGATTTTTCAGAATTCTTCCTGATGATGGTATCCATAACAAGCCAATACTAAACAATTGATCAGGGTATAAAAGGACATCTGATAGTGCTACAGAAAATGGCGGTGCCAGGACTATGATTTCTACAATTGCCTCGGCATAGCTAACTAACTTTGACCAATAGGAAAAGATATCGTTAAATTCTGTAAAGAGTATAGATATAAAAAGCTGAAATTTGTCATGCTAATAAATTCATCAGATAAATCCGAAGGGACGGTTAGGGCATCTGTAACCCCGAAACAAGAGTAGTAAGAAACCATGCGGGTTCTCATAGAAAATATCAACAACTTGAATTTGAATTATATAGCTTATCAAGTCCGGGGTTATATTGAAGTTATCAATGCTATCATATAATACGCTACTTCAATACTAACAATACTGATAACAATTTTGATAACATTACAAATAATACTCACAGGTCAACTATTAGATATTGTCTCTCACGTCGTGGTGTGAACTATGGGCCTACAAAACCACTCACTGATCATTATTATTATTGCGAACTAATAATTCCGTAATTATAATTTCTTGGTCAGATTATTCTATTATTTGGATTTAATGGACTTATTCACAAAAATGACCAATGCTCCTTTTCAAATAAATTTGACGGGTTCGCTGTATTAAGGTCAAATGCATGAACTTCCGATTTAGAACATTCTCAGAACTTCAGCAATCTCTTCCATTTTGATTCAGTTCAGATTGCTCCTACCAATGTAAACAGGTTTTTTTTAAAAGTATAAGCAAGTGTCCATTCAGTTTTGGAACCAAATGATGCTGTCATTGATAATTAAATGCATGTTTAGAATAAGCAATAAATGATTTGTTGTTCGAGGTAATGTTATCTAACATCGTGGAAGTTATCTCCATTTTGACGTGTCACTCTGTTTGCGTTGACAAAAGCACTGATAATGATGACGTATTTCGTAAACAAAGTCTTCATATTATCTGAGTTATCTTTATAAGTTGGCTCACCGGTTTATACATATATATGTATACTACATAAGCTACTGTTTGGATATTATTCTTACATATAGTAGATAACTATACATTACAATTAAATTTTACCTTACACGTATACAGCAATACACCTTGGTATGTTATATAGATACCCTTTAACCTCAACTTTGATAATGCAAATGATTGTGCTCTGGGTATTGCAAGTTCCGTGATCAAACGCCATTGGAACAGTTTAACAAATGGACCAATGGTTGTCCTTTGATTGATGACAATAATTACCCATGGGTAACTCCTAAATTGAGAATAAGTAATCCGGGTTCCAGAAAAAGGCAGGCTTACCATAGCCCGAGCATGGAACTCATGACTACTTAAGCTAATTGGAGCGTTTGATTTAGATATTTTCAAATTTAGAGTTGATTTTCAAATTTCAATCGTTCAGTTAAAATTTGCAAGATTAAAAAAAGTAAATTTAATAAAAATTCATTATTTCCGCTGCTCAAAACAAACACATTGATATTGGCCGTAAACTACGGCTGGGGTGACGCAGGTATCAACATTTTAAGAGAATCTGAAGTTGTTGTCACATGCGGATATGACCGACAAATTGTTAATAGCTAGTTTTATACACATAATAAGATTTCTAATACTGGTTTTTATTAAGTAGTAACGCGAATGATCAGACTAAAATGACATGTAAACGTTACAGAATTGGGATAGTTTATTTGTTTCGAAAGGTCAAAGGGTAGTCGGTTTAGGCAAGGGGATTTAACCTTAAGGATTGGGTCCTACTTGAAAATAATAAAAACATCGACTCGGGGGGGATAAAGTTGCCGAGTTATCAGCTAGCTAGAGTAGAATTTGTAGCAACGACGACGATATTAAAAGTTCACTAATATAATATTTGACTTGTTTTAGGATTGGTCTGTAAAGATAAGAAAGTGGGGTTATACAGAGTGCACGAAACAGTCTTATATTTTTTTTATATTTTGAATTAACACGTAAATTTAAAAAGATTAAAATCACAAAAAGGTGATGATTGAGAATGGGTTTTCTGGTATTTAGAGTGCATCGAAATTCACTCCAAAATAAGGTTCAAGAATTTTTAAAAACTTGTTGTCTACATATTATTTTACTGCCACAAGAAGATGACTGAGAAGATACTTTCTGATATGTAGAGAACATTTACATTGACTCGAAAATTGCGCCAATAAAATCTTGGATTTCTTTTTAGGGTTAAGCCATGTCTAAACATATATATGAATTATTACTCTTGTTAAATTATACAAATAATTACACGGCACCGTTTTCCATGACTTAAACCTCAATTTTAATGAAGTGGTACGGTATACTACTACATTGATGACGATGCATGTTTTTTTTCACTCTTGCATATTAAAAATTATGTTTCTTATATACTCAGGGATCAGTTGCCTGCGTGAAAAGCTCTACCCTTATTATGATTTCAATATATAAACAAATGCGAATCCCAGCCATTGTGACATCTTCTAAATATACTGGATATGCTTGCATCGGATCCTTTTGAGATGAATCTCAACAAGTTAATTTAAAACATTCAGGCATCATGCATAATTCCAATAATGATATTCAAATATAACAATTCTTATACGTAGATGTACAAGAGCATGTGTACGTGCTTGTAGTGGTGGACTTCAAAAGATGTTAAAAGGTACCAGCCAGCGGCGTATGGACAGTTTGTGCCGACAGGGGCTATTCTTGTGATTGCCCCACCCGCTCCCCATGGAACACAGCGTACAATGTAACATAATCTAACATAAGCATTGTTTTCGTAGGAAAATAAAATTGTGAAATTGTGTTAGACATCTTGTATCTATCCACTGTCCCAACAGGAAAGATACATTTATTTCATAATGTCTTGCCCGATCGGTGGGCCAAAGATCGAAGCCCACCAGAAGTGTCACTCGGGGCAGAGCGCCCTTGCCCCATGCTACTATCTTACTATATCAGCTGTTCTATGCAGGGAAAGCATCGGTCTAGTAAAAAGATATAATTTTGTTTCGTAGTTCTACTCATTTGTAGTTCTACATATGTAGTGGTATGACATTTAACAAACACAAGCTAAATGCCACTTTAAAAAATAAATCCCGTATTTTCTAAACACCAAAACAAGCCTCATTAATACAAACACATAGCTTGTTTTAGAGCTTGACATTTCACATTTCGTTTCGGTTTAAGTTTATCTCGTA